CTGAGATTTACTTTTAATTGTGGGAAATTATACACACAGATGTGTGCCTTTCTAAGTTATGTTCAGTCAATTGAATTTGCCACAGGTGGACTCCAGGCAAGTTCTAGAGAAACCTCAAAATAATCAAAGCAAACAGGATGCACCTGAGCTCCGTTCAGAGTGTCCTAGTCAAGGATCTGAATAATTTTCTATATGCGATATTTCAGTTTTTGATTTTTAATTTAAATTTTTTAAAACATGTTTCTGCTTTGTCATTATGGATTATTGTGTGTAGATTCATGGCCAAAACATTAATTGAATCCATTTTAAATTAAATCTATAATACAATAAAGTATGCAAAAAGCGAAAGGATGGGAATACTTTCTGAAGCCACTGTATATAGCCCAATTTGAGAAAAGCAGTATTTAGGGATTAAGCACTTAATGTTTAGAGACATTACACTATTTGCAAGCCACAGTGCCACCTGTAGTCTAGATGGCTGAAAACTAAATGAAAAATATTGTGATCATTTTTAAGCACACACTGCCCCCTGTATGTCCATGAGGGCACTGTCCACTAGTTTCATGGATTAGAACCTCAAAACCCTTCAGAGACCAACCAGCCACCAGGAGGCAAAATGAATGTGGAAAATGTTTGAATGGGCTCCACATGTGCACTGTCAGGCTTCTGAGAGAGACATTTTTATGCTCATTTTTTAGATCTCAAGCCTTATAAGTTGACCGCTGTAACTGAGTAATTACACCATCACAAGTCTCATTACACAATCACTGTAAGTAATAATGACTAATTAGTTTTGCTTAACATATATTAAGCAAACAGTGATGAAAAATACTGTAATGACCTTATACTATGAAATATACTGTAATTTGATCACCAAATTAAATACAATACTACTGATTTTATAATATAAACTGGTTTTAGACATCTTAAAATGTAATCATAATTAAAGTCATGTTAAAACTGCCAAATTGCCAAAATTAATTTTATTTTACACAACTTTTACATTGTTAGCTTTGTATTTCCCTAGTATTAATCTGAGTATTATCTCTCCATGTGCCAGACAGTAGGCTATATTTTATTTTAAGTTTATTTTTTATGTTTATATTTTATTTAAAACCTTCCTGTCCTTGGCTGTCTATCACCTGCTCTGTCTCTCTCTTACTGTCTCGTATAGATTAATCATCTTCATATACTTTGGAATTTCTGGCTATCTGTGTGTTTCTCAAAGTTATTTAAATGTTATTAAAAGTTAAAAGTTATTTAAAATTTGATTTAAAAAAAACTGTCTTAAATTAAATCTACCTAGAGTGCCAGTGTTTCAGATATAACCAATGCAATAAGTAGGTCTCTTTCTCTGTATTTATCTCATTCTGTTGTTACTGGAAGGAACACCTCTTAGCACAATACATCAATGTGCTCCTGAAGAAAATGTTTGTTACTGTTAATTCTCACATGCTGTTCTCAAACTGATTTTTGCCTGCTATAATCAACTGGAGAGGAGGATTGATTGCCTGGTACCGACAATCTATACCTCCTTATTTACTTGTTTGAGACTTTCTAAAGCTATAATGACTATAAAGCCATCTGGCCAAATACACTCTTTAGACAAACATTTATCCTTTTTTTTTTTGGCTCCTGCATTTTATTTGTTTTCAAGCCTGTGTGTTTATGTATTTTTTTTCACCAGACTAGTGAGTGCAGACCTCACCACTGAGAGCATTGATATAGTAGATTAAAGGATTTACAAATGGGGGAAATCTCAGAAGCTACAGTTATGGGATTCTTTGGCCTGAGCTTCTAGATATATGTAAAAATCTCTCAATCAGACTAGGTGAGGCACAATTCTTAAATTATTTTCAAATTCTTTAAAAGCCTAATCCTAGAAGAAATTAATTTAATATACATTGACATCTTCAGTAGAGTAACTTATATACACGCCTAATGTACAATGACAAAAAAAAAGTGGATCAGAGATTATAAAAGCATGCAAATCTGAGGCATTATGAAGCCACTATGAAGAAATGTAAACTAATGAGACTATCCTAATGAAGTCTGAAGTGTCAGCACATATATCCCGAATACATCCATAAACCTCATCAGGAAAACTTATACTCAGTAGTGTAGAACACTTCAGAATGACCAGCTCAGATAATGCAGGCACTGTGAAGAGGGAGTCAAGTGAATGCAGGTGACAAGAGAAGCAGTGCTGTAGTAGAATAAAGGAGTAACATAATGTAAAAACCAGCCTGAGGTGGAAAAACCACACCCACTCAGAACAGGAAGCAAAGTCAGACTGCAGCTCCTCAGCTACTGATGGCTAAACCACATTTAAACGTGTGTGTGTGAGGGCTTGGGTTTGGGATGAGCAAGTGTCTATGTACTCATTTCAATGCATTTAGCCATAACCAGCTGAAAACCTAAAGAAACAACAAGATCATTACACCTTACTAATTACAATGAACCTACTTACAGTAAAAATGAAAGTGCGCTAAGTCATCAAGCAATTTGCCTAAATTGTTGACATGCAATGACCCCTTCCATCTTAACTAGTTGATATGCCATGCCCAAACCACTACACTACTTCTGACATCACTATATAATAATTCAAAATTAACAGTTTAAAGCCAAGAATACAGAATCACCAGATCAAAACTGAATCGTTGTGAGGGATAGAACTTTTATCTGTGCTGTCCTCAGTAGCCAGAATACCTAATGCCAGAAGTGGAGGTTATAAATTATGCTGAACTGTGAGAAATTGGTGGAATTCCCATTAACTATTTGTAATCCCTGCCATATGACATACTACAATCCTTCAAAGGTTTGATATAAAATAAGAACAGACACTGTACACTCCACCTGTGCCATTAAATAGTAAGCTCTATGGTCAGTCATCACTTTATTAAGAAGATTCTTATGGCATTTGAGCAATCAGGTTCAAAGCTGAAATCAACTGTTTTAACACACAAATGTCTGCAAACTGATTATTTTGGGGAGCATTATTCCAGAGTATTTCAGAGAATGCGTGAACTTTTTACTCACAATTATATGGCTTCATGTTTGGCCCCTGCATTGTAGGTGAACCTGATAAAAAAAATAATAAAATAAAAAAAAGGATGGCCATGGTATTCAAGCTCATACTCTCCCAACAATAGGGTGAACACTCAGGGGCTTGCCACATGTGAACAAACAAACAAACAAACAAACAGCAGAAATGCATGTTATTTTTATCTCTCAGATTAAATGCAGGATAGGCTACCTTCATTCATGTGTTATTTCAGTAGAGAAGTGATGTGTACTATAGGTTGGTAAAATGCATCATGAGGGTGTTCAATAGGCGCTGAGTCCTACTGACTATACATCAGACCATTTTCATCGTATGCAATCTTGTCTTCATTACATTCAAATGATTGCAATATGAACTTTTCGTATAGTAAAGTTGTAAAGAACGATACCATAGAGACTTAATTCTTACACTATAAATGTTAACTGCACAAAGTTCAGTGCAAATTAATGGCAAATTATTGTTTATAGCATATTTATGGGGCATTTTTTTGTAACGTATATAGTAAAGTATATACATTATATACAGGATACACAGTCATAGGATAATTTATACACATTACAGAGTTACAATACAGTGTCCTATTTATAGATACTGCCAAAAATGAAAATATATGTTAATCTTTTAAGGTTGCTGATCAAGAAGAGCACAACTACTGAGTACAGAGAGTGGTTGTATTATTATTATTGAAAGTTTCAATAAAAATAATAAAGTCAAAATGACAGTAGTCCAAACTGCTTATGTAAAATATGATCACTACAAGAATGTCGATCTTCTTTTTTAACATATTAGAGCAAAACACGTGAATACGGCATGTTCCAGTTATAAGGTTTCCGTATTAATATATAAAAATAGTAGATAAACTGATATAATACTAAGGTCATGATATACAATTACATTTCAAGTTCTTATTGCTGTTCCATACACTCATCATTTCTGGTATGCAGTCATGTTAATATTGTTGAGTGATTGATGACTGTTGACAAATAAACAATTTGTGGAAGCATAACATAAGAGAGTCATTTTACAACTGGCATTTGACATGCTACTGATAACTGGCTATACATAATTTAATTTTCATTTAGGAATATATTATAAACTCAATTTTGAAGTGAGACATGGAAGACGGCTGCATATTTTTAAATTTCTGTGTCCAATTTAATACTCACTTTTCTTCCTCTTTCATTCTGGTGGTATCCATTGAAGGGTGGGATATTTTCCATTCCCTGTTGTGCGATCATGGCCTTTGGAGGCAGGGCTAGTGGAAAAGCAATCTAGTCAAATGCTGTCAGGAATAATCGGAAGAAATCATTAGCATGCCAAGCTATAAAAATAAAGGGAGTGTTCATGAAATAATTCTCTGGAGTGTTGAAACTCCCATTTGTGCCAAAAAGGTCAAATAAGGGAACAATTCACATAGGAGGCTCAGATGTATTTTTATCCAATACCTACAGTCCTTTCACTATTTTATCGTTAAGTGGGAGTAAATAGTGGGAAGTAGAGGGATATCTTAACTATACAACTAGAGAAGTGAAGTCAAGTGTCATGTATGGCTGGTTACTAGCAATGGCAAAGGAATCCAGCATTCGTTCAATTTGATCCATATAGATACTCTAATGGACATGCTTTTTACATAAACACTTCAAAAGATTACATCTTACATACATGTTTGATAACATATCTCTGAATGTTCAGTACTATCTCCAAAACTGAGTATAACCGCAGCTTTATGTAAAATATTTAAATGCAAATGCAATGTCGTTATTTACACAGCTCATTCATGAAATCTGTCACTAAATACTAAGATGCAGAATCAAAACCCACAAACAGGCAAACAGCCAAAAACCAGCAAAGGTGAGGCATGAGCAAAATTGTTAAATGGAAAACAGGCCAGGAACTGGGTAAAGTTGGTCTGAATAATCTGCAGCATAACACTGGGTCCCTGGTGGTCTAGTGGCTAAGGATTCTGTGCTCTCACCACCGTGGCATGGTTCAAATTCTCGGGAAGGGAACCAACCCAGTCCCAAGCCTGGATAAAATGGGAGAGTTGTGTCAGGAAGGGCATCCGGCAAAAAAACCTGTGCCAAATCAAACATCCGGACCAGTGATCTGCTGTGGCAACCCTTAATGGGAGCAGCCAAAAGAACAACAACAACAATCTGCAGAGTAACACTGGCAAAACTTCTCAAGGACAACCGGGAAATAACAACAAGGTAGAGTAAATGATGAGTAGAGAAGTGATGTGGAAATGTTGGAAACCTCAGTCAGGAATAGGCAGAAAATGGCATGTGATTACTGCCATTGAACCGTCCCACAGTAGTGGATCCTCTGTAAAGGATTTTAGAACATGTTCCCTGTTTCTTTATGGGTGTGCTTATCCTGATAATTGTGAGGGCATTAGCTTTTGCATTTTTTGCATAGAAGGCAATAAGATTAAGACTAACATTAAAAAAATAATTTAAAAAAAGCAGTTTAAATGTGACTGTCTGTGCTGTGATCCATAGAGGATCCATATGTATTGGTTTATTAATTGCACAAAGGGTACACAACATCCACAGCAGTTGAAAACCAAATCTTTGTGCAATTTGATAAGCAGTCTTGGATGTCGGCAGTGGTTACCCTCTGTGACCATGATGGCTTCACAACATTAATTCTCCTTTGTCTTACAAAATGGATATGCTGGGTTAGCCATGAGAAACAAAACACTATGGGGATTTAAGGGACATCTCTTTAGCCATCTGTTTTCCTCTGCTTCACATTGTGGTACAGGATGGGCACCCCATTGGCTCAGGGAGGATACAGAAAGGCACAATATGTGTTACAGTGATTTTAGTATGGAGCAGTTGGATTCCAGTCTGTGAAGTTCCCCATGGCTCCTGAGTCTTTTAGTGCCGGGTTAGTGTAAAGTCCCAAATCAAAGGCCAATCAAAGAGAACTGATAAACAGTCAGTAACAGTGAATGACTAGAGGATAGACTAGGGAAACAGCTTATACTTAATAATTAATGGGCAAGACTTTGCAATAAATGCTAAGACACATGGCATTTGAAACGGCAATGACTAACAGACGTCATGTGAAATCAATCAGTAACCATAGCAACACACTGTAATCTCTGAAGACTGAGACATCTGGTGGCTGGGGGTATTGTATGTGTATGTGACACATCTACCTTTTTAAAATTACTGAATCTAAATAGGCTTAATGGGTTATAAATTATATCATGAGATCTTCTATATTACATGTCAGTTGATGTTTAAATGATCAAAAACATCCTGGTGGAACCTTATAAATCCAAACACTGTTCAAGCTTACAAAATGATTTAGAATGTGTCTAACATCTGGTCAAAAATGTGTCAGGAATAATTAATAATGTACAACCATTGCACTTTTGAAGTGTAGGCCTTATTGAGCTACACGTGTTTTACACTGCCTTAGAGTTTTGCCAGCTAACTAACAAACCATTGATGCCCGATATCTTAAAACGTGCTCTTCATCCAGAGAGAGTCACTCATGATCACAATGCATGTGCGAGTAGCCATAATATACTGTATATGTATGTGAAGCATTAATAGCTACTACAGCCTGCACGCGCCTCTGTGTCTCTGAGTGCTGGTGCTGACAAGATCTTGGAGGATCAGTCTGCTGGATCTGGCCTCGTCTCAGCCTGAGCGACTGGAATCTGGCTTGAAGGAAAAGCGTAGGAGAGGGAGAGAGGAGAGAGAGAGAGCGAGAGAGAGACCTAAAGAAATTAGGAAAGGAACTTTCTAAAGGGTACTGAGGGCATTGTGATTGCTTCTCTTGGTTTATGGTTATCTGTTCATCTTTCTTCTCAGTGACAGCTATGGCATGAGTTATACTTCTCTGAGTTTCATCAGGCGCAACATGGCCACTTCATATTTCACTGAATCTACCAAAAGCTGTAGCATACCTTACATTCAGTGTACATTACTTTGTATGTTATGTTAGGAGAATCACGAAAAAAAAAGTATTTCCTGCAAAAAAGACATATACAGTCTTTCTATTTAACACACACACACACACACACACACACACACACACACACAAAAGGTTCCTGTTCATATTAGGAAAAGCACAACAAGTAGAAAGGAACTGCACAATTCTATTGTCCTTTCCAGTTGTACTCTCTACCCTTCATTAGTACTATACAAGCAAGACTATTCTTACACACACACACACACACACACACACACACACACACTGCAATCATAGTCTATATGGCCATGAACAGATGCACCATTGTTCTTATCACCTTGCTCTTCTCCATTTTTTCTTCCTGTATGTTACCCCCCCCACCCCTCTGTTTTTTCCTTTTTTTTTTTTATCAGCACTAACCTTTAATCTCCTGAGGCCTTGAAAAGGGAACATAAAAGTGATAGAGAGAAGAACAGTAGATGGAGGAAGAGGAGACCCTTTGGATCTTATCTTTTTTCTACTCAGGTATGCCAGGGCAAAAACTACTAAGAACTCCCTTCTCCCTCACACAGACACACACTGGGTCCATTGTTTGGCGGTGGGCGCCTTGTGATCAGGTAGGCTTAAGACTTATGAGCGTGTGCCCCCTTCTCCACTTTCCTTTCATGTCCTTGTTTTTTTCTCAGCCTGTACCTGTCTGTTGAGCCCTTCCTCTTTTCCCTTACCTCCTCCTCCTCCCTCTCATGTGCCTTCTCAGGCTCCCAGAGCTCCCCAGCGGGCTCTCTTCCATCTCTCTGCAACTCTGATTTGTATCAGCCACTGCTCTTCCTGCTTTTTCATCTCACCGCTTTTGCCCTCCCCCTTCTAATCCTCTCTCCTCCTTTGCTCTTGTTTACCTGCAAATGCTGAGGGGTTTCCTGAACAAGAATGTATTCATTCTTGACAGGTACAATGAGAATTTATTATTAGTTGTGTAACCACATGGGAAGATACCAGGCCATTACAGTGACGTTCTTGCAACAATATTAAGAGTTTATTAATTCCGTAATATCTAGAAGTGCAAGAAGCCTAACCTGCTGTGTTTTAAAGTGGACCTTCTTCCTTACACCTCTTACCACAATCTTACAGAAATATTGGTGGGTAGTATTGATCCTTTAGGCCAAGCACTCAAAGGTGCACTCCTTTGCAGTAAAGGAGTTAAAACTGATTTTCATTGTTACTGAATTAAGATCAATATCAAGCCAAACACCTGAAAAACACTGGCAAAGTTTTCACTGGTTCACTTGAAAACAAAGCAGTTTTGAGCAATAACAAATGCTGATAGACAGACTATACTTTACAAATAAAGCCACTGAAGACAACTGAAAATGATAATCCTTTGCCACACACAGTGTAACCCACACATGGAAACTGAACACAAAGAAGGACATTGTATTCTTGAGGAAATGTGTGTTTTAAAGCAAATCAACAAAATAAAAGAACCAGTGTTTTGAGTAGTGGTTGCCATGTCAAAAGCTCCTTTTTTGTTCATCTTGTCATTCTCAATTCTCTTCAAAAGAGAAGAAACAGAATGCATGGAATGCATGAAAGAATGTGCCTCTTCAGCCGAGCATCAGTTGCAGTGTCCATTCTGAGCAAGACAGGGTCAATCTGTATCCACCCTTGACCTTTACTTTGCCTTGATCTTTGCAAACACCTTTAAAAAATGCTTGTAATCCCTGTACACAGCCGTCTCACAAAAAAACTATAGCGTTAGGGAATACTGACTTAACATTCAACCTACATGTTTAAAAGCACGTAGGCTTTTCTTTATTAAAAGTTGACAAAAAAAACAGTGAATTAAGGCAAAAATAAGCATAAAAATTACTGAATGAGATTCAATTATTGCTGAAAAGTATCTGATATCATGTTTTTCATGAGAGCAACAGTTTAAGGGAACCACATCACAAGTTGCAGTATGTGATTGATTTTTATAATGGAGGATTTCTATTTATTTATTTATTTTGCTTTCCACACGTCACATTTTGTCACAAACAAATAGCTCTCCATGTTTCCTGCAATCCCGAGAGTCACAAGCAAGAGGAAAAGAGGTGGGAAAATCACCATGGACACCACCAAAATGTTGACTCCTGCAGCTCAGTGGCAGGTCTCCGATAACGTCAGTCAGACATTGACCCATTGTAACTGCGGTGAAGGAGCAGTGACCCTTGTGACAGGGCATTAGGTGATCCTAGCAGTTGAGTCTGAAGTGCTCAGGAGAGCTGAGGAAATACTTTGATGTCACAAGGAATGGAGTTAAAAAAACATAAAATGAGACTGCAGCTATATAAATATATATAGTGCATAACCACAGTCACAGTCCAGCAAAGACAGGGCTGCAATGCATCAGATTAAAATACCTTGTCTTGAAATAGAAATGTCTTTCTAGATGTGATAGATTTTCATTACTACTAATTAATTAAGTTCAAGGTCAGAATCGCATGTAACTGAGACATACCTATGTTTTACTCCACCATCTGCATACATAACTCTCATGCATCTTCTGAATATCGCTTAAGGTCTGACTACTGATGTGTGCAATTTTGGTATTAAATCTTCAGTTTGTTAGTGAAAACCTTTCACTCTGATACCGAATTAAGATCAATGTCTGAATAACTGGCTGAATGACTCAAAAGTACTGATGATGTGTTGACTTGTTCATCTGAAAATAAGGCAGTCCTGAGCATTAGCTAATGCTGATAGACTAAGTATACTTTACAAAGAAAACCACTGTAGGCTTCTGTAGCACTTCTCAGTAGATTAACACTCTTCAGGCCAAAGGTTGTGGTGTTAATTGACTGGAACCGGCATCATCGCAAAGCTAGTGACGTATTTGCATGTACAGGAAAAAAGGCCCATAAATACCATACCATCTGCTCTGAGAACACTCAACCTGGAATGGGCTGTATGGTGTGTGCCTACAGCAAGGCATTGAAATGAAAGTAGTTTAGCACACAGGATGAAACAGATACAGCACTGGAGGAGCCATTAACAAGGCTTGAGACGTCATCTATGGGCAGGATTCATGGGTTGTG